AGGAATGGATTAAATGTCTTCCACAGTAGCACGTCAAGACTGTCACAGATTCACCATGGTCCACATGGATGCTCTGAAGAGATCAACTAACACTTAGGGCCCTCGAATCGATGATTGCTTTGTCATCTTCCAAGAATGTGTGACGTATCTTTCGATGGTGAAACCGCCACATCGTTCATTGGGTTCAATCGGATAGATTCGATAGGTTAGTTGCTGTTCTTGGCTCGAAGCTACCAATAGCTCCGATTATCCACATTGGGGTAATGCATTTCAATCATCATGACAGCGCCACAGACTATCCACACTGGTGATAACAGTGTTGGAGGTTAGGAAGAAACCTTTCTTATCAATGACACGCACAGCAACATTCGTCACATCCAACAGGGACAGTTCCACATGTTCATGATTGTTGTCATCACGGTATTCAATGCTTGCCTTTGGCATCCGATAAGATCATCGCTGTGTACGCTGTGAGACACAAACTATGCCGGTATTTCACGTCACCCTCACTCGCCGGGCACATCAGAACGTGAAAAGGCAAAATGTGGCGAGTGCCACACCCGAGAACGTAATCGACAGAGTGTATGAGTAAGCTCCCCACCATCATCCGAAGCACCATTACGCAGATATGTGTGCCAAGTAACAGTGCATTGGGAACGGCACGACCGAGAACAGTTCCGTCATCCTCACTTTTGATATAATATTGTCTTCTTCAAGCAGTGACCGGATGCATGTTTGGTGAGTTGAAGACTGTAAATAGAAAGGTAGATACAGCCCATTACGTCTGTAAGGTCACGGGTAGGTGCAGCCCGCGTGTCCCCCGTCCAAGCAATATCCGACGGGGCCGCAAACCAATATCCACACCGCGGGATCAATAGTCTCATGCCTCTTTTCACGTGCGACGTTTTGTGGACACCCCCGAACCCCATTGTAAGAAACTATTTTTGCTTCATCGAGGGTTAGCCGAAACTGATGTATTGCCTCTGCAAGTCATCTTGTCAGGGTATTCCAGACCGCGGTGAACGCGCGCAGTGATCGGCCGTCGGACTTCATGATCATGAGGCACATTGTGATCTCGAATATCACTTTGGATGCACACATGCACGCCGAACACAATTGAAACTGTATACACTAGACATTACTTCATGAACCTTCCCTCATCAGATCCACTTCTATATCGTCACTGTCGCAGTGACAGTTTGTGTGCTCAATCCTTAAAACATTGCCCATAAGTCTCCCATCCATCCAATGACGCACTTGACATATCCTTCATAGCGCTCAGTTGGAGGAGAAATGCAGTGTAGTGCTAACGCATTGGACCCCCAGCCCGCGCGGCGCACTAACCGAGCATTGAGAACGCAACTATGACAAATAATATATTCCCATCTCAACCGCACAAACATATGAGTAGCAAAACATGAAAGCCTAGGTCATGATGGGTTTAGAGCAGAAGGCCACATATCTTACGAACACACGGTGACAATAAGTCCAATTAGTGAGATAACAAAAAGGAGTTGATTGGATGAGGTAAGGCACAGATTTATTTTCAATGATGGATGGCATTGGATGCGTCATGTCACAATTCGTGTCGGGGACGTTTACTTGGTGGAACGACACCTTTAGCAGCCTCAAGCGGTAATCCAGCTGAAGAACGTGGGCCTGAGCCACTTTGCTCCGAAGGGTCGTTCTCGACCTCATGATGAGGAGTGTCGTCAAAGGGATCGGAGCGGACTTCCTCCTTATTGATCACTTTGGCGGCTTTGCTGCGACTGGGAAGAGGCATTGTTAGCCGGATGACCACAAAACGACACAATGATTGCGGAGGAAAACTCACACAGAGAGCGGAATGCGTCCGCCAGTCGGTCTGCCCATCACCTTTGTGGGTGTCAATGGCCCGTCGCTCATGTGCCCTGAGGTAACACTGATTGTGTTGACCTTGAAAAGAATCATGTTAGTCAACTCCCTGAGAAGCAGGAAGTGATGTCACTCACTTCGGACGCCCACATATGTTTTTCGGTGTCATAGTCCTTGATGACGCCGGTGAACTGAGCCTCACGGCCAATGACGCATAAGTTTTGGGCACGCTCCATGTTACGGACAGGTGGAATATAGTGCCTAGTGCACCAACTAACAGACATCCGTGTCTACGAACAGAGCATCATCAGCAGTGTCCTACCAAATCAAAACAAATGCCATGAATCAAACTCACAAACGGATCATAATCTGTATGCTTGACCGTAGCAATCACGGTGGGTTTGCCTTTATAAGCGGGATCCTTGATGACATCCTTGCCGACAATGATACCTAAGGCGACCATTTGGACTTTGTCCATCATCTCGTTGGTCACATTGATACCAAGCTCCTCAACCACCCCAAGGTTGATGCGGTTTGCATTTTCAAAGTGTAAATGATCAGGATTTTTGTCGTTTGTACCGATCATCTTGCAGGTCATCGCATACAAAGAACCCGGGGAGAGAGAATCCGCTTGGGAACCGTATGATGTTAAGTATAATGGGTTGGCAAACTCATCGCCTTCGTTCATTCCAGAAGTCAGAATTGCAGCGTGGTGCGAAAGGAAACCCTTATTGGCCGGCTTTGGAGCGGGCCCCTGCGAACATAACACAGAAAAATCAGTAAGGGCCGACTGGTCAAGTTAAGATACATCTCGGAGTACTGACTTCTTCACCGGCTTCACCGCAGTAAATAACTCGGCAAGGATGCGAGAGCTGTCGACCTTCGGTGCGCGACATATTTGAATGCTTAAGAATTTACTGAGTTCAATGGAGCAAGGTAAAGGTGGCGTTAAAACACAGGGCGGCGCGGTGAAAAGGGAACAGAGAAACAAAAGATGACGGGGTGTTTTATAAAGGGTGGATAGAACCTGTAATGATCAATCAATCAAAAGATGCAAGTATAACACGGAGATGATTGGACGACGTGAGATCAGTGGATGGGTAACACCTTTTATACTCATTGCCGCAGGGCATTTTCAGCGGGTGAAATTCGTGCTCCGAAAATTTCACGATTGTGTGATCGAAGGCATATTTGTCGTCAGCTCAACACATTTGTGATTTTGATGGTGAACATTGTCGATGACGTGCACTCACCAAGGAGTACAACATCCACAATGTTTCAAGGTTGACATTTTGAAGAAGATGTGCCGATTGAGACTGGCCTGACATCAGTAATAGTTTCAGGCGGCGGCTTCGAAGAATGTGTCTTGATCGCGATAATTGACTCACATCAGGAATAGTTTCAGGTTCAAGCTTCGAAGAATGTGTCTTGATCGAGATAATTGTCTTGATCGAGATAATTGACTTGTCTGCTCTCTGACGCGCAACTCTCTAACGCGCAACGCCGAATTAAGAGACTCGACGACTCCGCAAGGCTACAGAACAAAGGATCAAAGCAGATCAGGCGTCAGCGGCTAAGTGTCCCAGAGAGCCCAAAGGGGCAGAGCCATAGAAAGGATGGACATTGGCTCACGTCGAACATACGAAGACATCGACTCCATTCGGACTCGTCCTCCTCCAATGGAAATACCGTACCTCTACGTTGAGTTCATCACATTGTAGCGCATACGCAACAATGATTGAATGAGGGAGGGCGTGAGGGGAGGCTGGAATGGGAATCGGTCACTCAGCACGGTTATCGAACCGGGGCAGAACCGTACCCAGAAGCGGCAGGACTGTCGGGGGTACATATGGAGGCGCCGCTTCAGAAAGTGTCACAGGGGGAACATGCAGTAAGCGTTTCACGGTGTGCTCAAAGGCGCCGCTTCAGAACAGTGTCACAGGGGGAACATGCAGTAAGCGTTTCACAGTGTGCTCAAACAACGACATCTCCTCGGAAAACTTCGCATCATGAAAACATGTCTTTCTTTTCTATGTTTGATGTTTCTATTTATATATAATGTATCAGAGAGATGTTTGACAATAGTCAAAGCAATAATGAGGTCAAGAGGAAAACACGCCTTTCCCTATAAAGATGAACAATTGGTAAAAAGCAAAATTCAAGCAGTATGAGGGGGTGAAATTCTTTGTGCGACCAAAAGAGTAATGCTTTATCTGCAGTGATGAAACACCAGCATCGTGCAGATAGGTACCGGGTAATAAAGGGAAGTGACATCTTAAATCTTTTCACCAAATAATGTATTGATCTATCAAATCATTCCACCAAAGGATGTATCGATCACGATGAACATTTAAGTAATTTCATCGCTTGTAGTGAGCACATTTTGTAGACTTCATATACACAAACAATTCAGATGATTGCATCCAATCCAACGTCATGTTTGAGGATGAGGAGGCCGTCCGACATTCACATCCTTGCATTTGGTTTCAGTGATCACAGCCTTTGCACTTTAATGATGTAAAAAAGTTACAAGAGATGATTTACCTCAAGATAATATGGTAATGAGTACATAAGTATTGTACACATCGTGACGCCAGATTTGTCAGCACGTTTTAAGTGAGTGCCGTCTGTGCAGCTGATGTATAGAGACAAGGTAGATAAGACGTTTTCCTTGATCAATTCTCAGCCAAGCCTTTTGAATCATACAAACGAGCTGCGTCGGCCGGAAGGCAGCTCACATGACGTCGTGAGTTTGGTGGACTGGTGAGGGGTTGATTGGCCCCTTGGTGGGCAGACATGCCGGATATGTTAAGAGGAGGATGCTATAGCCTATGGTCCACCATGGTGAATAATTGTAGTTCAAGCGATGTCACGGGACATCATGCAAATGCTGGGTGGGTTTTTTGAATTTCATTGGCTCGAACCCAGATTTGTTTTGGTGGTGTGCATCGGGGGTCGGCGGAGCTTGCTTCCATGATCCTGGATTTGTTCCTCAATTTTACATTGACCTGTATCTTGAGAAGCCCTTCACTGAGGTCAAGCTGAACTTACGCTGTGACCATGCCCTTAGCGCAATTTGCTTCTTTACAACTTGACCAACAAACACAACCATCAAATAAAATTTCACAACAATTCTCGAGGGATCCATGGGTATTTTTTCGATGACTTCGTAGCTTTTGGTCTTGCGCATTGATACCAACAAAGAGACGGAATAAAATGCCTACATATATGTATCAATAAAAAGTGGAATGATTTGTATTGTATTCCTTTCATGTCTTGAATGAATGCCACGACGAGCTCGAGCAATTTATAATTCTCCTTTTACCGGTAAAATGCTCAACGCTCACAAAGAGTCAGAATTAAAACTCGAGTATAAATATTCTTCCTTTAAGATATCTCTTCTACTGATCCCGTCAAACTTCTTTCTTTCTTTTTTTCTTTCTTCATCAGCATTTTGTGCCTTTCATCTAATACTTTCTTGGGAAATAAAACCTTTCTTGACCATAAGATTGCTCATCACACCTTGTTCTTCTTTTGAAATCTCATTGTCGCCAATCAAATCGTCGACCCTTCAATCTGATCTCCTCTTGTTCTACCACAAAACCGAAACCTTTTTCCGAAGAATGTCATTCAATTCAACTCTTCAAACTATGAATTCGACACAAGAATCTTCAAATGAAATAATCGATCGAGTATCAAAACTAACTAATCCGATTCCAACTACACCTACATCTACATTGACCAAAAGCTTTCTAATACAATCCAACACTCAAGAAAACAGACCCATCAGAACTCGTATGATCTCTGTAAATCAAGAAGAACCTATTCCAAAACGTGTCAAAACTATGATCAAACCAATCTTCCATTCAAAACCAGATCATCATCTTCAAGAGAAACTTTGCTTTGAAAACTCAAACTTTGATATTTCTCATCATTCAAGTGATTGTATCTTACTAGAAAGAAATGATTCATTATCAAAAGAAATCAATCCTATTCAACATAATTATCAACCAGCTCAACAAATCATAAATCACATCAGTCATGATCCGATTCTAACAAATAATATAATAAACAAACCTGATAAATTGATATGTTCTGTATCAAATTGGTGAGTACCATAATAATCAATTTCTCAGACCAAATACCCATATGATTTTGTTCTTCTTCTGTTGATTAATATCATCATGTTTTTAAATTCATAAATATGTTTCAGTAAAGCAAGTTTTCATCAAAAATGTTTCATTCAAAGACACGAAAAACTACACTTAGATTTCAATCAAAGCTCGAAACTTAATTGTCAATGGTAAGTCATAAAATTCTACAATTTGTTATCCATAAAGTTTCACATTTGATTGATTTTTTTTGTAACAATTTTTTTTTGGTGACTTATAGTGGTAAAGGATTTACCAAACCTGATGAATTAATTAAACATAGTCTTCTTGGAATTTGTTATGGAAGTAGAATCCCTTTTAGATGATCCAAGTAAGAAATCACATCACATTACTTGAGATTTTTTCTTTTCATTTGAGTTCACTTGATTACTCTTTTAAATTTATTGTGTGTCATTTATTTATAAAACATTTACTGTCTATCCATCCTCTGTATCTCATCAAGATTTGTATAACCAATCAATATCCATCAAGGTTTTTCTATCATCATCATTATCATCCAACATACCTCCTTGTAGTTTTTCGTTTCTTAAGCATTTAATCTAAGTTGTAATTCAAAGCTCAGTTCAAATGGACCTAATATACAAAAAAAGTACTCGTTCTTTTGCCATGTGTCAAGTAATTCAGTTCATTTTTCTAACATACATATTTTCTGAGTTGGATCCCAATGGTTTGACATTTCCACCTACCTACTCCAACCTCCCATATTTGGAAATTGACCCAATGATACTCATGGAGATAATTCAAAAGGCCCTTCAAAAAGAGATACAATATGAAGAAATTGAAAGTCAAGCATAACCTTGAACCGATCTCTACTGTTTTGTAACGGACATTCTCAATGCAATGTAGCATTTATCAGACGCGTTCAGTTCACAAGAAACCTGATCAAGAATTCATTAATTGTCATCTGATGAATCTCAAAACAAAACGTCTATATCTTCGATCAGATGGAATATACTTCATAAATTCTTCCAATCCAAAACCAATCAATAAATTAATAATAATCAAAAATCTAACAAAAAAAAATCAAAACAACATTTTTTTTCCATAAAATTACAAAAACAAAACACCAATGAAAACTTATAAACAAAAAAAACAAAAAAACTCCCGAAATCTGGGGTTCCAAAAAAAACGCACAATCAAGATCAAAAGAAATTCTTTTAAACAAGAAAAAGTCCTAGATAAAGATAAAAGTAAAAAATGAATTAATCAATTTAAGAACAAAAAAACCCATCATTCAAATAATCATACAATTCTCAAACCATTTAATTCGATTATCAATGATCAGAAAAAAAATGATTGACGAGAAAAAACAGTAGTTCAAAGTAAACTTTAACCAGCAAAAAGTCGAATAGCAAGGTACAAAGTCGAACCAAACAAACGAATAATAGCCACTGTTCAAAAAAAAGAATCAATCCAACCATTTTTTCTCATCAGAATTTAAAGCGAAAAAAAGAGATCAACAACTCGAGGAAAAACGGCTTACTAAAAGCTACGAATCCAAGAATAATAATCATATATAAATGAATTTTAAAATCCGTTTTTCCCGTCGAAAAACTAGAAGCCACATCTCCATTCAAAATAGCAGCCACCAAAACACCCTACGAAAAAGAAAACACAAAAACCTCTGATCAGAAACCCTTCTTTTCCTTCTTCTTCTTTTAAACTTGATTCACTTTTCAAACAAAAGAAAAAACTCAACACTCACATTAGTTAAAGTCCATAACATCACCACATTCGTTCTAACATTCTTATAATAATCTTGTTTCAAGGTTTCCTTTTCTTTTTCACTTCGATGTTTTTCAATCAATTTCGGTCTAGTCTTCAAATTAAACAAAGCTTGATCATAACTTTGATCTAAATCTTTTTGTTCAAACAAATTATTGATTTCAACCATCTTGGAATCTCCTGCTGAAACGGCTATTCCTAAATCGGTCATCACTATGTTTTGATCTTTAGTTCCCCATGAGAAATCATGCTTTTCAAGGATGATGATGATTTTCAAATTTTAAAAACTTGGATTAGTTTGTGTGTGTAAAGTATAGTAAATCGGAATGAAAAACCTTACCAAGTTTGCAAATGCGTATACGTTCAATACATTTATATATGCAGGAGCCAGTAACCTAAGAAATCAAACAAGTTTCTCAATCTCAATCCCTTCACTCAATCCACTCAAGAGCAAGGACCACATACATATACTGTAACATGCAAGTCACAAGATGCCAAGGATCAAGCGCCAAAACACTCGAGATCACCCAAGAACCTATCCCAACCCAACCAAAGCAACCAATCAGACCAAAACATCACAATCAAGACTTCAATCCTTCAAAACATACCAAAAGTAGCCACCAGAGAGATGATGATCTGAGCATACAGTTTGGCGTTTGCTCCACCTTTAACCGCTTTGACTAGGATGAAAATCGCAGCTACCATCATGTAGAGAGCCAAGAGTGCGTAAACTACCATGGCACCAATGTACTTCCATTTGGAACTAGATGGAGAAAAAGAAGACAACACTTGGGTTTTTGAAATCATCATCATCATCATCAAATCGAATGGTGACTTACCCTTGTGGTCGGTTACCCATCGAGAGTAAAAAGCATCCTATCAGAGTACCGGTATAGAGGTACTATGATCGATCAAAAAACGAAAACCTTGTCAATCACTACTTCTTTACTACTGAATTGAAGGAGGATTTCCAAAAACTGACTTGTAAAAGTAAATTGACAATCGAAACAGCTTTAGGCATCTTTAAAGCTGGATCTTCTAAAGAAGATGATAACAAAACAAAAAAGATATACTAGCAAGAATTCAAAATTCAAAACTTCAAATCAACTAAAACCCAGCTTTCTTGGAATCCCAAATCAATTCCAAACCGATCATCACTTACATAATTCGCAATTCCAAACCAAGCAAACACCAAATTTAATAAATTATAAAACCCTTCAAAATATAATGCTAAAGCTTTTAACCTAGAATGTTCAGTTCTTCTAACTTGACCAATATGAGCCAAAGAATAAATCGCAGCAAAGAAACTTCCATTGAGCCATCTTCTACGTTGAGAAATGAATTCAGGTACTTCGTTCGGTACATCTGTTTCACCCCATGCACTCTTCACATATTTCAAAACCCATTCATGTCCTCTCTTTGCCACTAGTTCCCAACATAATATTCGATCTTCTGCAAGATACATATTTGACGTAAACACATCTGCATCTTGTCCTGTTAAGGTTTCTCCTTTGAAATAAGATGCTAATGGTCCTCTTCCAATCTCATCATTCTTTAATGCTATATATCGATAAGCTGAGAATGCACCTGGAAGCACTGAAATATAACCAAAGATCGATTCGGTAGGTTTATCCATAATATCTACCAAATCATCAAAGAAAAACACACTGTCAGATCAAAGGGCGAGACTGATCCAGATAAAATCAACCTTTTCTTACTTGACATCTTATACTCAAAGTTTTGAGCAGCTACTAAAGGGTTCAAAAGTCCAAGCCATCCTTTCCCTTTCATCGCACAAATCTCACCACAAGCTCCTCCGACATTCGAGTTTAAGTCCATACATTTCCAAAGATGATATAAACTTCTAGGTCCAGGTTTAGTACCCACATCCAACAAGACACATACGTTGGGTTGAAGTAAAGGACAAAACGCATTGAACATCCATCGATGTGAATTAATCTTCTTTTGATTACGTTCTTTAAGACAAAAGATGATTTGAGTAGGTACGATGCCTTTTTCTAATCCTTTGAATTTCAAATCACTATCGACTGAAAGTTGGGTGGTGAATTCATAAATATGAGCAGTGACTGGTCGATCTTGTACAACGTTGGATCCTACTCCTTCTTGATAGACTCCTAATGCAGCTAAACTATTGTCAAAAAAAAGTTTACTTAGTCAAAAAACTCGAAGATTGAAAGGATATGAGAATCTTACCAGTCTAGTACCCTTGGATTGATCACATTTCTTCCATCTGCAACAATACAAACCACGACCTTTTTCCAACCGTCTTTACCCCATGTCCTAGACTTGTTTCTTGTACAAAGATGTGCAATGTTTTCTAAGACCCAAACCGAACCCAATAGGTATAATGAGTAAATTGTTCAATGAAGATGATTCCTGTACTCAACTCATGACTCCGTGCATTGTACGTGTAAATAGAACTTCATCTTCGTTATACATTGTCACTCCAACAAAAAGCTCAGTATCTCGATTCAATTTAGCGGCTCGAAGATTATACCGTTCGGCTTCAAAATTATCAGGCTATAAAGAACAACACACCAACGGTTAAAGAAGTTGAGAGACGAATTCAGTAAACCAAACCCAATTCAAACTTACATCACATGTAGCAGCAGTATAAGACATCATTTCAAATTCTTCTTCCCCTCTTCTAGGTAAGAAACCCAATAATCTTGCAGGTATTGGACGATCGATTACCAAGTGACCATCAGTCAAGGCCACCCGTTTTCTCGTTCGATTTCTTCTTAAGGCTCTACCCATAGGAGCAGGACCCCAATGAGGATTAGCAGGTGAATTGACTGCAGTGAGTAAGAATTCATCTAGTCCGTCATCCAATGAGGTTTGATGAGCCGTCAGTTTGAGTTCTGGAGGATCATATGGATCGATGGGATCATAAGCCGTTTTTTCGTCTGTTAAATCATAATTGAATGTAGGATATTGATCATCTGTTGGGGTTGATGATTGATAAGTTGAAGTGTGATTCGGAAGGGTCATCTTCTCAGGATGATGTTGATGTTCTTCCGAATGAATTTCTTCTGGTATAGTTTGATGAACGATATCTTCTCTTCTTTGAAGATCTTCTTCTTCTTCTTGAAGTAAGTCAATTGAAGTAGGATGATGTTGATGAATAGGTAAATATTGATGATTTTCCGTAAGACTTGAAACGGGTTGTGAATCGTAATGATCATTTGGAATCCGATTCACATGTTGTGGTGGATGAAGTCGATAACCAGATGGAAGTTGATGTGGGTCATCTTGATCAATATCAATTTCGATATCCATCGAAGTCGATCGTAATCCGCAAGTGTAAAAAGTGTGAGAATATGATTCCAAGAAAAGGATGATGTGAGAAAAGTAGATGGTAAACAGCCAAGTGAAGTGAAGTGAAGTGAAGTGAGTAAGAAGTACATAAACCAATTGAACGCGTTTTTTGAATTTCTACTATCAATCTCAATTCCAACTACCAACTCATATCCTAAACACCAAACGCGTCCATTCCGTTTCAAAACAAACTACACACAACTCACAACTCACCAGACAATGGTACATAAAACTCATTCATCAAACATCAGCTCAGGAAGAGCAGTTCATGCTAGTTATCACCAGGCATGGGTTCTTTGGGACGGGAAATGAAGGTTAGATACCAAGCATATGTTATTGAGATCGTCGAATCAAGAATCTACAAGTGACGCACTACAACTTACAACTCCTTCCCATCCATCACATATAATCTCTCGTTCACCAGTGTTCCATTTCTAGAGTTGTAACATTATCCCCCTTTTGAACACCCAAACTCCCTTCTGCAAGTTCTGCGTTCTTCAAACCCCTGTAGTAAAAAGCTATACCCACTCATTTTCTCCGCTGCCTTTGATGTCTTGACCATTAACCCAGAAACCATTCATTGGAATCATACGCTGAATCTTTCATTGTTTGATAAACTTGATAATTGGCACCAGAATTGTGTTTTTTGAATTGAACCCATTCTAGTTTACCAAACACTTTAATATTTTACCTCTTTTTTTCAAAAATCAAGTAATTCAGCTACCTCAAACTCTTCTTTTCTGTCTATCATACTTGATGGAGGTACTGTCTGCTTTCTTTGAGAGATGGTGTCCATTTCATGCTTCCTAAGTATAAAAAAACATGAAAAAATTGATGAATTCCCCTCATTGAAAACAGAAGATCAAGTTGGTAAGCAGAGTTTGAAATCCTTTAAAGAATGATAAAAGGACCTAGCCAGCAATACTCTGATGTATTAAGACCTTGGCATGCTGGTCAAGATATTTTTTCCATTCAACCAAACCTGATCACTGATTTTCCATTCTTTTCTCATTCTTTCCTGAGTACAGCCATTTCAAGAAAGATTGACACTTTTTTTTAACAAAGTGGTCTCTGCAGCAGGTAAAATTAGAGAAAAAACTTGATTAAAACAGGTTTATTTTTTTCGGTGTTCTTCCCATTATGTAGGCAGGGGACAAAACCAAGTGAGAGACATGGCACATTGATGTGGTTTTCTAAAAAAAAAAACTTGGTTGAAATGGCTGTGATATCAAGATAATGTGTTGGCTCAATTTGAATATTTCCAATCATGTTTAATCTGTTATCTACAACTTGGATGCATTGCTCAGCACACAGGACCTTCTTGAAAATAAAATAAAATCCATAATTTGCTTTGAATGAAGATCTTCCTGTAGATTTGGAGCCTTGATGACTGTAAGCCAATTCAGCAGTTTGAAGTAAAGGCCACCAGTTATCTTGTTGGTATTTGACAAAGTGTCACAAATATTATCCTATTGATCTTTTGACAACTTCACTTTGTCAATTGGTCTTTGGGTGATAGGCTGTACTGGATGAGTTTAGCCAGATTCCTAACTACTTCTCAAGCTCATGGGTGATTTGAGAAACAGAAATGGTCCCCCTATGCCAGATGATACTTTTGGGGGTGCCATACAGCTTTCAAACATGTTGAATCATGATGTCAGCAAGATTATTTGCAGTCATGGTTTCTTTACACAGAATAAAATTAGTTGTTTTGGTCTTACAATCAACCACCATCAATATACTATTGAGCTCTTTTGATTGATGTAACTGATCAGGTACTTCAATTCTTCCCTTGTGGTACAAAACACCATCTCCTGACCTCAAAGTGACCTGAACCTAAAGCTATGTTGAAATTGGATGACATTGGACTATTTGTTGATGCTATCAACTCAATCATCTGATCATCTGATTTGTTTGTATCCCAGATCAAATCAATAGTATCAATAATTTGATTGTCTATTTTGAGATCATTAATGGTACTAGTATTTGCTGTGGCATCAGCTTCTGATATACCTAGTACAACAATCTCAAACCAACCTTCTACATCTTGCAACTCAATAGTTTCATTGTCAAAAACCGTATCACAAGTTTCTAATTCTACTGGAAAAGAATCAGGTTTGATATTTTCTGGTCTTAGGAGTTGTCCAAAGATCCAGTTATCAGTTTTATTGGCACCAGATCTGGGTATCAGGGTGTCAGGTTTCACTGTATTGCGGCCAGGGCTGGATTTGATAACAAAGTCAAATACCTCATTGTCTCAGCCAAACACACATGCCATCTTGTTAAATGTTTGGTCATCATAAATGTCTCCAGATTCCTGGAATCAGTGTAGATGATTAAACTTAACAAAGTCCCACGCTCGCGCATCTAGGTTCACCCTCTATGCAGTTGCACCATTCCTCCAAGGATCCCACAATAGCCAGCAAATCCTTATCAAAAACATTGTAGTTGTATTCTGCTTGGACTAATGACCTTGAAAGATACACAATGGGGTGGAGTTTGCCATCTTCTTCAAAGAGACAATACAGCTCCCAATTCAAAATCCAAACAAACATATTCAAGGATGAATAGTTTTTGGGGGTCTGCTATCTTAAGGAAGGGGCAGTTGTGCCGGATGTCTTTAATGACTCAAATGATGCCTCACACTTCTCATACCATATGCAACTGATTGTCTGTAGAAGTTTCAGAAACCAATAGGAATCTGTAGGTAAGTGATGTTATGAGGCTCTGGCCAATCCTTGGCAGCTTTCACCATCTTAATCTTGTTTTTTGAAATCAACAATCCCAAGTATTCAATTTCAGACTTGGAGAACTTTCACTCCTCGGGTTTCAACCAGAGAGTGTGATTGTCTATGATATCAAAAATACCATCCACCACTTTTTTGTGATGGACTCCCATTTTTTTATAAATCATTGTGTCATCAAGATAAGCGGTGGTATCCTTGCCTATCCTCCCAAATAAAACAACCCACATGAAATAAAAAAATACTTGAGAGCTCCTGGGGGGCAAACGGCCCTTGACAGACGATAAACACAAGTTTATCTTTGTCGCCTTCAGCAACTCAAAGATTTCCATATGTGTTACAAAGATATAATTTAGTGATTTTTTTGGTGTACAAAAGTACCAGGTCCATTGTCAGTGGAACACAATATTTATTCTTTGCAGTCAATGAATTCAGCTTTCTATAATAAAAGCACTGCCAGATATTGCCATCTTTTTTTCTTGTAAAAAGCACAGGAGCAGCCCATGGTGATGGTGTCCTCCATATAATACCATTTGCAAGGCCTTTATCAATCATATTCCAGAGCACATCATTCTTGTCTGGAGACAAAGGAATAATCCTACTACTCTAGCTTAAGGTGAGCTCCTGCTACTAGTTTGACTTTGAAATTCCACTTGCACTTCAGAGGTAAGTGTTGTCAGACAGGTTTTAAAAACATGTGTAGATGCCAATGGTTGTAGAACAGAACCAATTAGATAACCACTTGACTTGTTCTTGAAGTTTCAAATCTGCTGCTAATTGTGCAGAGGCTGACCAGGATGGCTTTGCATGAGCAACATTGGCTGAGTCACTCTTCAGGAGAGGTTTACACTGGTCAGCTATTTATATGTTGGTCTCAGCCCTTGAGCTCTCCTTAAAAAGAATCAAAAGGACTCCAAGGAAAATTTTATGTTTATTGTGAATGTGTTTTGAATTGTATTTGGAATAACGGTACTCAAAGTTGTGTATACTTTGCCGTGCATAGTTTTTTTGTGTTTTTTTGCAACTACAAACAACTTGGAAAAAGTATGTTTCTTGATTGAAGCTCAAAGATATGTACTTTTAAGCCAAAAACATAGTTTTTCCTGGTTGTGTGAAGTTGTGAAAAAAGAAAAGAAAACTATGCACAGCAAAGTATACACAACTTTGAGTACCGTAAATGGATATGTAAAACACTCATAACATCATCTTCAACAACATGTGGATCAGCTCCAGTCACACTGTGTTTCTTGACAGTGCTGATCCCATTTAAAGCCTTGAAGCTGTCAAACCATCCACCACTGAGGGCGAGCCAGTCTTTACTTGGTACACCTCCTTCATGGGAAAAAATGTGATCACTTATCTTGGATTACCTTGCCCCCCAGAAAAATCCCAGAGTGTTTGGCACTCTTGGTCCAAGCTTCCATAAGTGTGTCTAACTTTGAACATTTTATACATTGGCACTGTTTTATTTTGGGCACACAATGGGGTGACTGAGGGTTTCTCCATTCCATTCTTGACCCACTTTCTGACCAGAGGGTGCTTGATTGTCAGATGAGTCCACTTCTTGGTGACATGATCAGCATTCCTTTTGACTTTTTTCCATCAGTGTGACACCAATCTATCACTGTAACCTTTCCCTGAATGGTTGCACCAAATTGTGCATCAATTTGCTTTGTTCAGGTTGAGTCTTGCAAAGCATCTTACTTGTTAGAGGGACTTCAGAGTTGGGTATTTTATCACTTTTGTTTCCTCTTGAGTTCTTCCTGCATAACTTGTGCTTTCTTATACACATTGATGACATTTTCAAGTGTATCAAGCTGAGATATAGTGAGAGTTTGAGGCAAGGGTCAGCATGTGATAGGCAATTGAAAACAAGCAGATGCTTATCAACAAACTTTCCACCATTGCCAACAATTTTGTCTTCCTCAGGTGAAAGATTAATTCCTGCATCTCAACAATTGTATGTTTCTGTCAGCTTGTCTCAAGACCTTGTGCTCTTCAGTCATCAGATCCGGTGGAAAATCAGAGGGAGCAAGATTGAAAGGGGCAAGAGATAAAATGTATCCAAGCCAGGTTGCATGAAGCAGAGACAATGTATTAAACTTGAGTGGTTCAACCAAACATGATGGCAAATTGACTGTGTCTTCAGCATGCGTCACACATCTTCATGGTGACATGATTGTGTTCTTGTATGTAAGTTGATGCAGGTGGTTAGTTGTTGAGTGTTTGTGTGGGTTTGGGATCATAGTTTGAACGGGATCAAGGGTGTGAATGAAAGGAACCAACAAAGTATGTATCAAACTTAATCAAAGTGCTCTTGCTGGACCCAAGAGGACTTAGGTCAAGTCTGATGAAGTGTCTATCACTTTACTAGCCAAATAAGTCCACCAACACTACACTTTTTTTGGGGTATCTTATGCTTAATACCTACTATGTAATGTCCCAAAAAGGTTATGCCCTCAGGTTTTACACATTGAAGGCATAATTTGGCCTTGAGTTTGACCATGCTTATTTGCCATGGATGCCCAAAGGCACGACGGTATCCGAAAGTTCCATTAGGGTTGGGGATGAACGTCCCATAGATGAGAGACCCGGCTCGGACCTCGGACATATCGAGCAGAGGCGATAGCCTTGGAGAAGGCGCACGGACAAAGTGAAAAACTCTAACAAGTTTTTCACATTCATCACCAACAACACTCGAAAAGAAAAAGAAGGTATTCTTTAGTTATAGTTTCCCTACAAAATTTTTTCTTTTTCTTTTCAAACCGACAATCCGGAGTGTGGTAAACCACAGAAGGTACTATCGAACCCATCAGCAAACTTTAGAAGACTCTATAAATAAACTTCCATTTCATTCCCCCGCTTAAACTTAAAAGACTACTACCACATTATTCCCCCGCTTATACTCCGACGTTCCCCCGCTTCAGGATGAGCCCCGAGACCCGCCAAATCGGGGATACCCGCGGGACAGCCCGTCGGGTCGGGGGGTCGTTCTGGCCTTCGAAGGGTCGCAGAACCGCGGGGATTATCGGGCCCGGGAGTCGTTCTGAGAGTCAAAAGAAAGTGACTCTCCTCGGGGAACCCGAGGAAAAATCAAGCTGTAAAAAGCGGATAAATACACGCTTGGGAGAGGTTGTGCTCAGCGGTTTCTGCCGGAAATAGCCGGGGACTCGGGGATCCCCGTAATTTCCCGGGGATTTGGTAGTTCGTCGGGGGTCAGGGTACGGGAGCCGGGCTTGACCTATGAGCCAGAAAAAGCTCGGGGAATACCGGGGTCGGTCCTTGTTCTGACTTTTGAAAAAAAGTCGGTGGGCCGGGCAGCCCAGTCCCGGCATTCGGGGGTCGGGGCTCATCCTGACCCCCGCTTACACCTAGAAGTTCGAAACTCGATCTCATCTTTTATATTTATAAACTGTAAAGGATGAACAACAAAGAATTCAATAGATTAACGTCGGAAAGTAATTTAGGCCCGAAGGTTCCAGCTCCCACCAAAGACAAACAACCTAAAGGTAAACAAATGAAAACTAGAAGTAGCAAGAATGAAGATCTAGGTGGAGGTAATGAAAAAGATGAAGAAGTGGACAAGGAAGGTAATGGAGGTGAGATTACCAACAAGAGCAATGAGCAATCAAAAAGTTCCGCCAATCATGCCGATGCTACTCATGCAACCCCCGCAAACAACCCTCCCGGTAACTCAAACAACGATCCAGTAAACCCAACTGCTACGACTGCAACCGTATCAACAAATGCAAGTAATGTGAATAATGTCAGAGCCTTATTAAGTGCAGGGGAAGGATACAACCCTCAAAGTGGAAATGGTCCCATACTAGGAATTCGTAAGTATAAATCTGTTTTTGATGCTATGATATATTCATTTCGGTCCAATTATCTCTTAAAAAAAAAAATCCTATTCTTTCTCTCTAAAGGATATATTAAAGACTCTTCTGGTTAAATTCCGATGACAAATAAAGCTATCAAAAAAAAAAAAAAAGTCCATACATAATAAAAGAGACTGTTCCGGTTAAATTCCGAAGAAAAAGAAAGAGAATTAAAGAGAAAGCCTGATTCCGGTTAAAGTCCGACGAAAGATACCACATGAAAATATGTCTAAGAAAGATACTTACGTAATCTCTTCAATTTTTTGTCTGGTTATGTTCTTTTTATGGCAGAAATGGATATTGAAGATGCAGGTATGGATGCGGTCATCGAACTAGCCCATAGAAAGTGGATCCGTAAAATTCAAACGGCTTATGAACATAGGAAAGCTGCGACTTTAGAGATGTTAGAGAAACAGTATACGAAATGGTGTGAGAAAAACAATACACAGGAGATCGACCCACAATTGTATGATATCGATTTGGTAGATGAGGTTGATAACGATAAAGACGACGAAGTCGACGATGATCAGCCTACAAGCAAGAAACTCAAAACAAAAAAGAGTGAAGTCAATACGGAATTTGTTGAAGGCACAAGCTTAGTTCACACAATGCCAAAATTATCTGACTATTTCAACAAATTGATGATCAACAAGAACCGTCACGTACCAGTCTCTATTTTCAATGTCAAATGGTTATTATTAGACAAGACCTTCATGAGCACAAAAAGAGCCAAACCGACTACTTGCTTATCAGATACGATATCTTACAATGGCCTGAAAATCCCAAGTGAATGGAGGCTTACAAGCTCAGAGTGGTCGAAAAGATTCGATTTAATGGTCAAATACCATAAAGAACAATACGATACGTTGCCTAATCAGAAAAGCCATCCCATAGCTCCTTGCCTAATAGCGCATAAGGCAATTGTCCTAGACATACAATTGGAACAGCAAGGAAGATGGCTCCCAGCCTTTCGTGACGATCTCGCCCAAAGGCAAAATGTGTGGGAACATCGTCTCCCAGATGGCCGAATGTCCGATGTCGGATCCCGGAATGAAGTTCTAGTGCGGCAAGCCTTAGTCGAGTCCCAATTTGCCAAAGACAAGCTATTCGATGATAACCCCTATGCGATAGGATACCAACGTAAGAACCAGAGCCCGATAGACGGCCAAATCTACCCGGAACATGCTTCTTGGGACGACTTGAATATTCACACTGAACTCCAGCAAGAAAGTACGGGAGGAAGGCTCTTGTCAGCTTTGAATCCGCTCGCGTCGTCGTCTTCTTATGTAGATAATGCTTTAGCTGCACCCTCAAGAAGCCAGAGGGGAAGTAATAGAGGCGGGAGAGGAGGCTTTCAGGGTAGAGGCCGAGGAAATGGAAGGACTCATCACGTAAACGGTCAGAGAAGAACTTACCCAACTTACCCGAATAACAGCAACCCTAATCCTTTCTACTTGGGAAATGACTTCAACCCTTTTCACCAAAATCAAAACCAAAATCGCCAGAATTTTGCCCAAAGTACTAGACCTGCAATTGGCCCCAATAGTTTCGTTCCTATCCCAAGACCACAATTAATGTTAGAAAGTTCACCTGCAACAGGTAGTGGCAACATGCCCAGTGAGAAAGGGAAAGGTGCAACTAACGGAAATAAGTGAGTATAACTGACTTGAGTTTATTATGATTTCCTCTTGTATTTCAAAAAAAGAGAAAAAACACTTTTAACATATACATATATATGTAATCTATGCAAGAGATTGCTTCATATTCTTTGTTTTTCACCTTCTTAATCCTTTCCACACTAGTTGGCCTCACTATGAAATCAGAATACATACATGCCCTGCTAACGTGAATCAGTGTGAGATCAACTGAGAGATGAGATGAGAATTTGAGAGCCACAACTAACGTAAATGTGCGTAAACCTCCCACTAGGTCCTTGCACCCAGAAATCCCTTCAACCCCACCGATTGTGAGCAGCCATCTACATGAATGGGAGGATCGATGTGAGACTGTATCACGTAACTGGCCTGCAAATGCAAAATGTGAGATGCAAATTGACGAGTGGAAGATCTTACTCGAGGAAGGAGGACTCACTGAGAAGTGGAAACATGTCATAATAGCATTAGAAAAGGGATTTCACCAAGGGATACAGGAACATCGGTTGGGAAATCGAAGGTGGTTCACACCTGACAATCATTCATCAGTGTTAGCCGTGAAGGATCAAATCATGAACAATTTATTTAAGGAAAGGGCAGCTGGGAGGGTCTTTGGACCCTTTACACACGACGAGGTCTTCGAAAAATGGGGATTTTTCCGCTCAAATCCCATGGGTAGCGTAACGAATGGCGATGATTCCCTGAGGATGATAAACGATCTGTCGGTCCCGAAAAATAAGGCAGCGTTGGCCAAAAAGAAGAGACAAACTATGTTATCTAATCCCGAGCAACCGAGGGCGGATGATTGGATGGGAGGAGATGAAATTCGACATGATGACAGAGCAGAGCAAATTTTAGAAGAATTGTCTTACCCAGACAAAGAAATGGACGTCCCGTCGGTGAATTCATCCGTGGACAAAGAAGATTACAAAACATCTTGGGACGACTTCGTAGTGGTAGCAACATATTTCAGGAAAGCAACAGGAAAATCACTATTACTAGCGATAGTGGACTGGAAAAAGGCCTATAGACAGGGATTGACTCACCCGTCACAGTGGAAATACTTGACAATCAAGGACTTCGACGGAAAGATCTGGGTGGATACGAGGATTGCATTTGGAGGAGTTGCCGGTTGTGGGACCTTTGGTTGGATGGCGGACACATGGCAAGATATTATTAGTTCAGTATTCAAAGTCAAGAAGATCTTTTGCTGGGTAGATGACAACATGTTTGTGAAGGAAGAAGGCGACTTACTAGACATGAAAGACATCCTCCAAGTAACTAGAAATCTAGGAGTCCAATCAAACGATGAGAAATTCAGTGATTGGAAGATTGAACAGAAATACCTAGGCTTTATATGGAATGGTAGGGATAAAACCGTCAGGCTTCCAGACAATAAATTAAAAGAAAGGACACAGAAAGTGAGAGACTTACTTACTTTAGAGAAGAAATGGACTAAGAAGGAAATTGATAAGATAGTTGGTCAGTTGGGACATATCACGTATATCTTACCAAACATGAAATGTTGCATGTGGGATTTGTATTGGTGGACGGCAACATGGTATAATCACCACGCGTCAAGAAGTGTCCCAGAGGAGGCGAAAGCCGACCTAGCAGAATGGCTGCAAACACTGCTAGAATTCGAGCCTCTTCGGCTAGTACCCGAAATTGAACCATTGGACATTGGCTGGGTAGGAGATGCCAGTCCTAGTTTTGGAATTGGAGTTTTGGTAGGCTTGAGATGGGCGCAATTCGAATTGATAGACGGGTGGGAAACCCGAGACCTGCCAAAGAACGGACCAAAGAGGAAAATCGCTTGGCTGGAGACCGTCGCGATACGGCTCGGTCTTCGGGTTGTGGCTAATTTGTTCCCACCAGCCGGTAGGCGATTCCGTGTTCTGACGGATAATACAACTACAGAAGCAGTCATTAGGAATCGGAAATCACGTGATAAGACAGTTAACAGAGAGTGGAAACATATACAAACGGCACTCACATCCTTCCAGTGTGATCTTCAAATCGACCGAGTTATCTCAGCTGAAAACAAAGCAGACGACTTGTCCCGCGGTGGAACGAAAGACTGGGACTTGGACCACGAAGTTGTCATCAACATTCCTCTAGATCTTCAACCTCTGTTGAAGAGACACATTAGAAAGAATGGACAATGAGAAAAAGTTGTATCAATTCTTATGCAATGGTTCTTCGTAAGTAAAAAAAAAAAAAAATCTCTTCAACCTTGAGCTTACTTTTGGGTCACCTGAAATCAATCAAACTACTGTAGATCAATTACGTGGAGGTCAAACCCCATCCAACGTGCGTTGTTAAGTGGTAGTTGGAGCCAGTCAACCTTGGAAAATTATTCATCTGCTGTGGCAAAATTGGCCAAATTTGCATCAGCAAACAACCTAACAAGGGCGCAAATACTACCCCTCGACTCTCTTACCTTGTATCATTTTATAGTATGGGCTGGGGAACCTGTCAACGTGTACTTTGACGAAGAAATGTTGATAACGAAAGATTTGACTAGTAACAAGATATCAATGGGAACCCTTACGAAATATATTTCAGGAATTAGGTCATGGCACCTGTTCCATAATCACCCTTTTCCGCAAGAAAATGATGCAATCGTAAAGAAGTTGTTGAAGGCAGTCAGTGTAGCTGATGAAGCGAAGAGAGAGAAAGCAAAGGTACAAAAGCGGCCGGTCGAACTACGTCATATGGCGGAATTATTGAAAGCACTCACTAATACAGGTCGACGAAATCAAGCAGCCCTAGCGATTGCGGTAGTCGCATTCTGGGGGATGGCCCGCTTAGGCAAATTGGTATCCGATAAGAAGAAAATAAGACCCGTATTAGTAAAAGACGTACTCTTCTCCAATAAGCAGGATCATCTGAAGATTGCACTTTACAATGCGAAAACCACGAAACCCGGAGAACTCCAGTGGTTACACTTACAACGTCAACCCTCTCTATTAGACCCAGTACGAATCCTATGCCTCCTCGTCGAGAATAATGCCGACACAACCCCAGACAATAATTTGTTCTCTTACCTAAATGAGTCGGGTAAACGGATGACCCTATCAAAGGCCGAGGCGATGAAAATTTACAGAAATGTATGGGACGCATCCGACCCTGATAATCGCCTTACTGGTCATTCGTTCCGGGTAGGAGGCGCGACGCTGCGTTGGAATGATGATCTGCCGTTAGAGAAGATAGTGACTATGGGAAGGTGGAAGTCGAAGGCTTACCAACTGTATCTCAGGAAGTATTCGCCGGACCAGATCGCCGATGCTGTCTATGTGTGGGAGGCGATGGGTGACACTACATGGTTTGAGGACCAGTTGCGTGAGGAAGAAGCCAGTAGGCTATCGATCCAATTATTTAAAGTAGAACCTGTCGAAGAATGACCCCAGTTGAAACGT